TTTTTACGGCATCTATATTTCTGTGGCCTAATCTTTGATGCCATTTTAGTATACAGTTCGTATTAGAACATGAAACATCATTAGCTAAGTATGCTTTCTCGTCAATTGAGTTTACGGTCAATTTATATAAACCTTGCTGAGCGTTGCCGTCGGCTACGAGTATATTGTTACGCTTTATGTAACACTTATTACTATCAAATGTAACAATGAAACCTTTATTCGTAACAGATTGAACAGAGAGTAAATTACTATCTAAACCTGGTACACACAATACATTTTCTAATTTTATTTGTGTAATCTGACCCTTAAAGTTTTGAACTTTAAAATAGCCTTCACCAATACCACAAGAATTTAATTTAGCACCATTGGCTACAGTTACTATTTGTTTATTAGAGTCATTTAACTGAGAGAAAAAATTCTTATCACTCGTCATATGAGTTGAGGCTCCTGAGTCGATAACCCATTCTTGCGTTTGCGTGCTTTCATGTTTATTTTCCACTTTTAGAACTTGATTAAACTGAATCTGCGAATTTTCAGTTTCAGTACTTTTAAGATACTTATTTTCTTTAAGTTTTGTTATGTTTTCTAAACTTTGCGTATTTGCTATTTGGCATGCATTACTTTTATAATTTTGAGAATAATTTCTTACTTTACTGTTATTTACATCTGTTTTCGGGGAAGTTCTAGCGTTGCGTTTTAAATGAAAACAGTCGTTTATCGTATGGTTATTTCTCTTACAATAAGTACAGTATCGTGTAACATACTTTGATTTATTTTCGCTTTTACTTTTTAAAGCAATTTAATCGTATTTTTGAACTTTCTTAGTTTCCACACGTCTACAATACTGATCTATAAGTTTGTTTTAACATATTCTAGCGACAATTCAGCTTCCGATTTACTTTCTATTGCAGTTATTAAGGAGTTGTATGAATTTGGTAAAGAACATAGTAATATTGCTATTAAGTTATTTTCTTTAATTTCTTCACCTATACTACGCAGCTTTTCAGCCAATTTAAAACCCTCGGAGTTGCTCCCTGTCGTCGCTACGAATTTCTTTAAAATAACTTTTCTTCTTTGGCGACCGCAGTAACCCTGTCATCAGTAACAAACGGCAGAAACTCTCTCCTCTATCTGTTCTTTTACAGAAGAAACTCTTTCTTCTATTTCTTCCTTTACCGAGGAAGCTCTTTCTTCAGTTTGTCCAATTTTATTCTCAACCGCGTCTATTCGGCATTCCATAGCCTCAAATTTATTTTATATTATGCAAGTAATTTCCTTTTTCATTGAACGGCTTTTATTTCTTCTTTAGCAGATTCTTAAACGCGATTTATTTTCCCCTTTAACAGAGGTGAAGGCCCCTTCCATCTTTTCTTGGAATGCAGCAAATGCAGTCATCATCTGCCTGAATTGTTCTTTCATTGCTCTTGTAATTGGTATTCAACACCCCACTCCTGACACCAAAAAATGATGCGTGCGTACGGTTTCGTAGTAGATTGAATGCACAAGTCTTATGAAAACGTAATAAAATTTGTTCTTATCACAAGAAATAAAATAAAATGCCTAAATTTTTCCTCACAGGTATTCGTACAATATCACACAGTAGTTATATTTTAAACTGATAAAACGTTAAATAGGACATAATTGAAAAGGCAGAAAAAGCTAATACGATCTCAACGCGAATTCGCTACAGTAAACAACAACATTTATCAAAACAACTCAACTGAGATGTTTTCCTCCGGCTTTTTAAAGCTTTTTAATCATGCACGACAACATTCTGGTGATTTTTATTTTTCTCGAGGTTTCTGGAAAGCAAAAGAGTAGATTTATAGTTACAGCTAACACGCAATTGCATTTATTCAATTCAAATATAAATTACGAGATAACTATTTATTAAAAGTTAAATGCGCGTGCTCCTGTATTTTTACTTTTCCGGCGTAGCTTTCTCTTAAAATTCGTCACGCGCTGCATTGCACGGAGAAATGAAACAATTCTTATAAAAATAACAAATTAAATAAAAAAAACAGTAACAGTATAACTAGAAGTGTACAAAATGTTAAAATTATTAAAAAGGTATTTTATTTTGCCATGTTTAATTAATCATTCTATATTAGAACTTGTTGCAGTCTGAGTAAGGAATAAAACCTAGTGATGAGAAAATTTTGAGTTTTCCTCACGACACTATCCAGTCCACCGTTTGAGCACAAAAATACAAACTATACAAAGTGTTTGGCAAATGCATTGGGTATTGAAACATAAAACATATTTTGCGTTTACATGGCGTATTTCTTTCAAATGCATTGGGTTATTCTGATCCATTACATCAGATGTTGGCAGAATGAGGCTTCCTTGAATGGAGGATCATTTCAACTATGCTTCGTCAGCATCCTTATTTTCTGTCCTTTCTCAGCTTTTTCTTCGCATTCTAATATTTTCCCATGAGCAGAAATGGTTTAGACTCGATTTTCCCACATGAGTTCCAGCGAAGTTCTAGATAAAACTATATTGCTTGCAAATATGGATTAGATTACAGCCCTTCCATATTTTTCAAATGATACTTACCTTAGTTTAGATGTAGAATGCTATATGTTTGCAGCTTGTCATATGGATTAATTTTTTTATACAGAAAATTTCCTATGAGGAGAATAAAGAGGTTAAGTAAAACACATATATGAAGTTTCGCTTTTCTGGAAAAATATGAATGGAGATGATAACATTATCACTAATATTTCTTATCTAAAAGCCAACGAGAACGCATTTATTTCCTGCCAAAATCTGTATAGTTTCAAATCAGAGGTGCAACAGACTGTATAAAGAAAATAATAAATCTTCCAAAACATCTAAAGACTTTAGAAATGCAAAAAGTTCACTAAACGGACATAATTTAAATACTGAAACAAAGCATACCGATGAAAATAAAATAGTTTCTTTTCCTAAACGACAAATCACCTGCATATCCCCATTATTATTAGAATCCATTCACTATTTGCTCTTTCCCTGAATTGCAGGAATTTCAAAATTTCTATCATTCCATCAGCTTTTAACAGAGCCCTGTCTGGCAGTTCAGTCAAAGAACTTGAATGAAATCAGAGAATTTCTTCAGATTCTTTGATTCAGTGATCACGAATATTATACACGGTGTCTCAGGGTCTTATTGCAGTCTGCTTATTGCGTGTTCTGGTTCTCCAAGAACTAGGTGTTATACCTGTCTCGCATAGCCTTAGTTTAGAATACAGAAAAAATTGGGGCTGAAAATAAAAGGACGGTAATGTAAAAGTGTTTTCTGCTAACCTAACATGGTTGTAATAGAGAACATAATATCTTAAATAGGGATAATTGTAAGGTTTAACATTTTTTCGGTTAAAAGGCGAGGAAATTATGAAAAAAAAAATGTGCTCCAACCGCAAATATCCTTCATGTTCGTTATATCCGATTTTCATTCATTTGAAAGTTCGCTTTCTTCTTCTCTGGCACAAACGCCAGTTTTCCAGTGGGGGTGCCTTTATAGTCATTGCAATATATTATCTTAGTGTAGCAAGATCAGTACTCATTTAGCACCTAGACAATACGACCACAGTTATGCACATAAAAAAATGGCATAACTGGAACTGGTGAACTCTACTGTATGTATGAACACTCACTCAATCCATGAACTTTTAATGAACTGTCAATGAACTGTGAACCATCTATGAACTGCAACTCCGTATTGACACTGCACATTAAGCAAACCTATCAACTTAAACCCACGACACCCACAATGCAATTCTCAAATATGTATTACACTGTCCCAAAGCATCACATTAATATCACAATAACTTAACCAAGATAATAACGTTTAATGTTTTTCCATTCAATTATATTTGTTTATTTGTGTACATATACTTATATTTATATTTCACCATCAACTGTAATGTATGGTATTACATTGTAATGTCATTGTCATCAGCAACTGTATCTCCCGGCCATGCTCTGTTCATCAGCAACTGTTCTCTCTGCCATAATGATAACTTTTCAATCAATACCGATGCGTGGCATAATTGCGTCTTGTGGAGGTGTTCTTCTCAAGACGGTTACTGTGAAGGAGCGACACCGGTTCTGCCAATGGCGATGTGTTGGTGCTTCCCACACTTAGTCCTGTCCTGTCCTGTAGTAATATAAAATAATATTAAAGGCATAGAAAATTGTATGGGGCCAAAAAGTTCATTCTTTATATCCTTGGTTTTGTTATAAGGTATGTTCGATGTAACAGTTTTAAGTATATTCAGTATTCAAAGATAGCTCAGGTCATTGCTTTTTTGGAATAAAGTCTCAATTTTTTAAAACTTCATTTGATAGAGTAACAAGTATACTTTTTACACGTAGAGTTATGGCAGTGACGCTTGCATGAGTTACAAGAAAAGATTCGATCGCAGTTAAAAAATCTACTGCTTTAAAATTGTAATTCCAGTTTCATTACCAGTTCCTTTAATTATTTACTGTACACTGTAATTCATTACCCTACTCCAAAAGCTAGCTACACGATGATACCAAACCAGATATTAAAGACTAAAGATACACTGGCAGAAAAATGTCAGAACTTTCATAATACAGTTCTTGTGTGTGCAGGTATGAATGGCATTGAGCCTCATAGATTTCGTTATTTGGAAAATCTCAAATGCCAAGATTACATTACGTTACCACACATTGTTAACTCACTGAAATAAAAATGTTTTAAATATTACTCGTTTTTCGATCTCATAATACACTACGATCTTATAATACATTTATTTAAATTGATTTTAAAAGTGTACAATTGATTTTAATTTCTGGTATTATGCTATTTAAATCAATGCAGAAAACTCCTTTGTTATGTGTTTCTAAAACTTAATTTTTCTTGAAGTAGAGGGAACAAACGATCCGGATACTTTTAGTTTCGGTATTTCTGCACAATCTTTTATAAAACTTTCATTTGCAATTATATTTACACCGGAGTTATTTAAGTAAATCACTTTATTTGATTCTAGGTGCCGTTGAAAATAGTTCTCTGAAATATCCAACTATTAAAGCAGGTGAGTTTTTGCCAAAGTTCTTTATGCCAAAGTTTTTCTTTAAAGACTATACTAAGATATTTTTGCAGAGATATAATTTACAAAAACTTGGAATAATACGTTATTAATTTTTTAAAGGCTTGCAAACATATGTTAATATTTCTATTTCTCCCGTCCACCCCAAAATCGTTCTATAACCACTTTTTTAACTACACTTCGTTGGTATATGGTTATATTGTAGGTTTACCTAAACAATCTACAACAATAACAACATTAAAAAGTTTCGAAGTATTTAATGAGAAGTTACCGTATATCTCCGCGGATAATATGATAGTTGAATCATAAAAAAAGGCAATCAAAATCCGGGTCGTATTATATCACAGATAAAAACATTTGATTGAAATTTATTTAAATTAAAACCATAATGAACTAAAAAGATAACAACAACAACAACTAACAAAAATCTGAAAACTTTTCAGATTTTATAGTACCCCTAAAGGGGTCTTTTTTTTTAACGTTTTGTGTGGTACCTTTATTTATTAATTATCGTGTTCTTTGCATTTAAACCATAAAATTCGATTCTACAGCACTATCACAAAATAATTTGAAAAGAGCATATCTTTAGGATTTCCGATACACAGTCTCGCGCGCTGGATAAAAATGTTTTTTTCCCCCCTACAGTGTTGCCATTGCTCGCTTTTAAATCGTTGAGTTTGTTAAGATTTGTTAAAGTTTTACAGAATCTGAAATAGATAATAAAACAAATTCCAAATTCTAAATTTGGGCTCCCAGATGCCCATATTCGGGTGGAAACGACCATTATTCAAAATTTGATGCCTCTAGGTACCGTCGCTTTATCGCAGTTCGAGAAACATACGTACATTTATGTAGATTCTTCATTATTTAATTTCTTTAAATATAACACAGGCCTCTAATTTTTGCTGGCAACAACTTGAAAAGTGAACAGACATTTATAGTGAATCAACGCAAAATGCCAAAACGAAATTAATAGCCCTTCTGGGCAAATTTCCTCTTTGGACTAACTATTCATTCACCAACATATTTAAAATCCTGAAGAAAGAATTATTCATCATCTATGCAAATAGCTCCTCAACATTTTCACATTCGTTATTGAGAAGCTTGCCATATGTATCCCATTCTGTACCTAGCGAGTCGATTTTCGCTTCGTCATCAGTATCCTATAACAAAACGTCTTCAGTGCCATCCATAGCCGTTAGAAGTCCCATACTTTTTGAAATATTTGATCGCTGTTTGTATTTTCATTTTTTCCCGTGATCTGATCACGAAATAATACAGCACATCAAGTAATGGAGTCTGCATAGCTCCACATTTCGTATATGACTTTTTTCCAATCATCATACACTTATTCCATTGTTTACGCATGTTATCTTTGACTAGTTTATTCAGAGACGTCTAAAGATTTTAGCATCGAAGTTAAACTACCCGTTATAACAGCAATCTTATATTGTTACGTGCTAAGCGACTTTTAGTGTTGTCGTTTCGTGACTGCGAAACGTATCCCACTCCGAAAAACTGTGTCGATTTCGTAAAGCACCTGGTCGCCTCTGCCCACTTTTCCCTCCACAACTATACACCATTATCGCCCATCCACGTCTTTTCATGAAAACATACGAATTTGTCTGGCGGGAATTTCATTTTAAGAGTTGTTTTCCTCTTGAAATGACCATGTGTTTTAACTTTATTCCATTTGCCATGCATGTTAATATTAGTGTAAATCTAGTCTATTCTTGGCCTCACTTGAACAGATTTTACGCCTGTTGTTTCCATAGTTTTATTGTTTATCAAGAATTTCATCCATATTTTCAACATTAGATAATGGAAAGCTGTATTTTTACCTCATACCAATAACTTCTGAAAATTCGTGATTTATGGTTAAGATCTTATGGTAATTTCTCCGAAATTTTTGTTCTCTGTCGTATTTATTTTGTTCATGAAACGGTTGGAAAGAAAGCATTTTCTAGTGAAATTTAGATCTAAAAATAACAAGATGAAATTGAGTGGAAATTTACCTTAAATCCGGAGCACATTTGGTAGTACAAGGCAAAACCAGGGGGTTTTTAGATACATTTGATCGATATCATCTCACAGCTATTAAATGGAATGTTCAAAACACAATCAAAATAACTGCGTAAAAGTTGTATAAAAATAGAAAAATAATCTTATAGTGTCGTCAGAGTCCTGCATGGACATGCTGGAATCTTCAAACAGGACTTAATCAGTAAAACATTTTAAATCAGAAACATTTCTAAAATAAAAAAGAAATGTAATAGGATAAACTAAAATTGGTTGAAAACGAAAATACTTACACTAGACGCAAATGTTGAATAAGTTGTGTTAACAGAAGAAAGTGGTTTTGTTCGGGGAAATAAAAAAAGGATACGCAAAGTAACTGACATGAAATAAAGTAATGTTCACTCAGCAAATGCAAGCGTAGAATGATCGCTGTGCATTAACGTTTGAAAGCGACATGGTTATGTTTTTAGAACCGAAAATATTGGTTGTCAAAAGCTATGCTGACGTAATACCTAAAAGAGTAATATGACGGAATACCCAAAAGGTGTCATGAAAACAAGTAAAATTCCATTTAGGGATAAACGGAGAAAATTAAAGCAAAGGGTGGAGAGCATAGTCTCACAAATATACAGAAATTCTTGTCATCGTTGAAGGATCTTCTCACAACCCTGGAGAAAAAATAACCAAAAATATTTACAAAGAGTCAAAGAAATATAAACTTCCTGAAAAAGATACAGGCACAAGCAGATATTACATTACTGTTATTAAAGAGGAAATTTACAGGGAAGAAACCTGTACAAAATTATATAGAAGAAGACAAAGTATACACAATACAATGCAATGCAAAAGAATGAAAATGAAAACGTAGATTACGGAAATTATGGTCTTTCATCCTGTGTGCAGTAAATGCTGTAATCTTCGGGAATGGCTACGTACATGAGTGACTCCTTGACTGTTTGCTTGACTGCAGTTTATTTCTTGCTTGAAGAATTTGCCGTTACATTTCTGTAAATAGTTAGAAATATAATCAATCTTTAGCATGTCATACGGTAGCTAATTTCAAACTAGAAAGTGAGCATCTGTAATCGTTCTCAAAATCTTGTTTTAAATCATTTGAAGATCCCTTTCAGATGCTTTTTTAGCGCTGGGGAAGGCATAATATATTATAGGATGAAGGATTATAGTATATATTTGTCTTTTTCTGGAAAAAGCTTGTTTTGAGCTCTTGCCCATCCAAATTCCAAGTTGATTATTACTGCTTCATACCTTGCCGGTAACATAAATAATATATGTTCTCTAGGTAAAGCGATAATTAACATGACCTCCCAGATAATTTACCTTATCCATTCTTAATATCCGGTTTTTCGAAGAAATACTGTCCGCACATTCATTACCGTTAAGTGCCCTATTTGATAAAGAGTTCATGCAACTGCACAGTGAAATCATCTAAATCTGCCTAACCGATGTCATGATTAGGAAGCAAGTAAACAGAAGAAGTTGAACCGGTTTGTTCGTATATTTGCTATAATGGCTTTCAAGTTTGTTGTTAATAATACTGAGCTGGAATGACAGTCAAGTAAGGATAAAAGACCTCCACTGACTCGATCATTACAAGGATTATCTTTCCTGTTAAAAAACTTCTTCCTCAGGTTAATCTGCTTTTTGGTTTCAACGGAGTTTCCTGTACTGTCAAGCACACCGGATGATAGATATTGATCATATGTTTGATATTAACGAGATTTTGATGGAAGCCGCAACAGTTCCATGAGATGTTGATGGCCATTATTCGTGACGATTTTTCCTTTTCTGCTGCTTTTTGGGTTTTGCGCGGAAGCACGTGTTTGGGAGCTTTTAACCCTCTTCAACTTCCATACTATCTGAATCTAAAGATTCAGAAATCATTAATCATGTCATTGATTGAATTATCGCTAATTTTATGAGTTATTGTTCGAAGCTTATTTTTTGGTTTGCTTTAAATTACTGTTTCTTTTCCTTTTTCCCCCCCTTCTTCTTCTTCTTCTTTTTTTTTTTTTTTTTTTTTTTGTGTGTGTGTGTGTTGTGTGTGTGTCAAATGAGTCGAGTCTTCATTTTTTTTTTGTTGCTTACAGTCTGCTGGAAGTTAGATGGTTACGTTTGGATTTTAACCGAAGATTGGTAGCCAAAAACTCAGATAATTTTGCGAAATTTGATCAGCGACTTCTTTTTCTAATTTCCATGTTGGGCACGAGCAGGAAAATCCTCTACGCTAGCCCTTCTCAAATCTCTTCTTGCAAATTTATACATTGTGGCGCATCGGTGCAGTTTTCGCTGTCGTGGACAACCCTTGAACATTGCGGACATATCAAGTTGCCACAGTGAGAGATCTTAAATTGACCAAAATCTTGGCATTGGTGTGGTGGTGTGTTTAACTATGGCAAAGCACACGAGGGCTATCTGCCTAAGGGGAGGGATGCCTTCGTGGAGGACTTTCTAAGGGAAACTGGCTCGTATACACGTTACACATGGGGAAAACCACGAAAACGCCCATGCAGCGCCATGTCGCGGGATTCGAACCTCAGACCGAACTACCAGTGTTCAGCTACTTTACCGCTCGGCCGCTGGTGGGCCCCTCTTGGCATTGGAAACATCGCATTAGGTTTGGAATTTCGGTTTCAGATTTCTGCGGAAAGAATCCGTTTGACTATTCTTTTGCGTGACGTCTGTACTTCGGACAGAATAAAGGAGAGTTTATTATAAAGTGGATTTTTTTGAAATGTTTATACATATGTATGTATCGCATAGCTCAAAAACTATTAATCGCTGAATGTTGAATTTTTATACATGGAAGTACTATAACAACTCGTTGTACATCTCGTCTCTTTTTTATTATAATCGGCAATTTCAAAAGGGCACTTTGCTGGAAAGATCTTTTGAACTTTTCGTATACCTCAAAAACGGTTCGTAAAGAATGTTGAAATTTTTGTATG